ACCTGGAGCCATCTGGAAAGTGTTGGGATCTTATTTTCTACCCTGACAGGCGCCTATGCTCTCTGACAGTCTTTGGAGGGCTTTGCTGAGACAAGCGATGCCTGGAGGCAAAAGAGGAAGAAAGGGTGCCTTTCGATTTTGAAATGTGCCTCCATTTCTGAAGGCCTGTCATATCCTCTGGAAGCGGTTCTTTCCTCCCTTTTTTCTTTCCAGCCTGTCATGAACTGCAAATTTGCTCCAACGAAGAAACACTTACGCTGCTTGTACAAGGCAATAAATACAACCCTCCCTTTGCTCTTCTCCGATGAACCTGGGTGGAAAGCAAGGAGGCAAAAAGGGCTTGAGTCGATTGACTCGGACTCTAGTCGGACAGAAGTCCCTTCCACAACTCGACTTGGACTCAACTCCACCTAAATAATGCACCGACTCGACTTGACCCATGACTTGTGTATGGTTAGTTGCATGCGTGTGCCTTCAAGTCATTTCCGACTTATGGTGACCCTACCATGGCTTGGAAATATTTGTTAGAGATTTGGCATTGCCTTCTTCTGAGTCTGAGAGAGTATAACTTGCCCAAGTGGGTTTCATGGCCAGGCGGGGAATCTAACCCTAGTCTCCAGAGTCATAGTCCAATGCTCAAACCACTATGCCGCACTGGCTCAAGGGTTAGTTATGACAGTCAAGGATTTCAAAACTAAAATGACTTGTTGGTAGAGCTTGATGCACATCAGTCCTTCTTGCCTATGCCCTGATATACGTCTCTGCCATTCATTAGAAGGGTTCTGTGGTGCTTCTGCTACACAGTTAAGTATGTGTAAAGCTACACAACATAGACAATAATATAGGATCATGGCTACAGTTTGCTGTTTGCAGTTCACAAGAAAGTTGAGGGATTACTGATCCTGTCTCACCACTATGAGCTGCAGCTTCTTGAATCAAAAGCTGAGTGTAGACATGGGTTGTCCTCAATGACTCTTTATTAATTGACATGGCGGGATTTGACATGCGTCTTTCGGCTAATTTATTTTTCCTTCTCTGATGGGATTCAGAGCTGGTCTTCTCTTCTCCTCCCAGAGCCTTCATCAATTACAGTCAGACATTTTTTAAGCCTCTGGAATGTTCAATTCCATCTTATTATTTCTTAATAGGTCCGACTGAGAGAATGAATAATTAAAAGTCCATTTCCTTAGAGTAATTTGGACTCAAGTGACAGAGAGAAAAGAAGTCTTGGTGTGGATGGAGAAGCTTGTAAACTTATCCCAGCAACCTTCCAGTTCTGCACAGTCCTTTGTCGCTTATTTTTCTTGACATACACTGTGAGGCATCCTTTATGTACAAATCTGCCAATCTTTGGAAATCTGGACGAGACAAAAAGTTTTGATGGGTGATGATTGAATTGTTGGTGAACTGCTCTTTTTCTCTTTGCTTAATTATCGATCTTTCTTTCTGTGATTAAAAACAACAACAACAACAGAGGATAAAAGTAGAGACAAGTGAAAATTTCATCACTTTTCTGGCAAATACTGCCGAAATCCAAAGGAAAGAATTTGAGATTTTAACAGTCTGAGCATGGGATCTGGAGGGTTGTGTGTTCCTCACTCCCGATTTACAACAGCAACAACAATAACAAGGGCAAGAATCCTGTTGGGGACTTATGTTTTTGTAAGTGAGCTGGGGTCTGCAGGAATTTGGATAGTTCTGTAAGGTCCATGTCTAATAAGGGGCTGCTGTTAACATTACTATGTAGGGGAGCTGGCAAAGTGATCAATGGGGAATCAGAACCTATGCACAATGGGATCAATGCGCATCAGTCCCAATGCATATCAATCCCATTGTATATCAGGATATCAGCTAGGATGTCCATTGCCTGTGTCATGTTACACATCTTTGTAGTAGGCTATCATGGTTGGAGGTATAAATGGGGATCATCCTGTGAAAATCTCGCTTTCACAATTAAGATTGTCACACGACGTCATGATTAAATGGCCACTATCCTGGGAATATCCCATGAAAATCGTGCAATTGCGATAACGGTTTTCACATGACATTGCGTTGAAAAGCAATTAAAGTGTCATTAACCCATGAATAACTAGACAATAAACAGCAAAAATCATCATTTTCCCATGAATGATTTGTTGCTATTTATTGCCTGGTTATTCCCTGGTTATTCCCGGGATAATGACTGCTGTGTGTGAAAATCTTAATTGCAATTTAATAGTAATTGCGCGATTTTCATGGGATAAACCCCGTTTAAACTTCCAGTTTTCCTCTGTGTGATAAACTCCTCCGTCTCCTTCCTACATATGTAAAGTGAGCTAATGTACATTGTGATACAGGATTCTAGCCAACAGCAACAATAATAATACAAAACATATTTATGCATTATAAAATACGTTCCTGGGATGATGGTAGGGAAGGTACAAGTGTTATATTATACAAGCAGCCCCTGGATAATAACAATTGCATCCTGAGTCCAAGATTGCAGCAAGGCTATTTATGCTCCCTGTGTTTTCCATCTCAGCTCTGGCTACCCTTGAGCGTGACCCATCGTCCACAAGGCACATATCTGAGAGGGAACTGAATTCCAGATCTTGAGCCTCTCTGACTGTTGTTATTTTCTACCATCAATTGTCTCTTCCTACTTCTTCTTGCAGCTGGCTTGGCCAAGAATAGAGGCCACCCGGCTTGTCCATCCGCTCCCTCCTGAGTCGCTGGTCCAGACTCCATCATTCCAGGTGGAAAGGTTGCTGGACTGCCCTTTGCAGAGCCAGCTCCAAATCCCCTCTTACCAAAGTAGGAACATCAGGGGTTGAGATGCTTCCTAATGAAATGTCTTGAGAGAAAAAGGGAATTTTGTGTGGGCGAGTGATGGAAGAATACTAGTGGCAGGGTGGATTGTTTTCCGGTTCATGCTGCGGTTCAGGGCTGCTTCAGAGGAGGAGGTGATGGGTAAATCGATCTTCTTTCCTTGCCAGCATCACTGTGCCAGAACTCATCTTGGGTGCTGAGGAACTCCTGAGAGCCATTGATCCTTCAAAGCTGAGACAGACTGCAGTTTCCTACTGCTTCAAACCGGAGCGTGGAAATGTGACTTTGGGGTACAACTGTGCGGGATTCTGGGAGCTGCAATAACTTTTCTATGCCCTACTTGAAATCCTAGGAAACCAGTCGTCCCCTCCCTTTGCCATTATTTTGGAGACTGAGCATTATAGGGTGGCCATGAGTCCAATTTTTGCAGAACATTCTCCTCTATTTCAAAGGCTATTAGAGGACAGTTGTTTGAAGATGAGCCTCTGATTGCAGTTAAATTTGGATCTCCCATGTTCTTTTCTTTCTTTCTTTCTTTCTTTCTTTCTTTCTTTCTTTCTTTCTTTCTTTCTTTCTCTGTCTGTCTCTTGATCTCTCTGTGCCCAGAAGGAGAGGTGATTCTTCTATTCTCTCTGTGTTGGTCTTGAAGTCACAGCGATGGAAAGATTTCTATGATCCCCAGCCTTCCCAGTCCCAACTCCCAGTCTTCTCCTTCCAGACCTTAGTCAAATCAATT